CCGTCCCGATTACCGTCGCCGCTGCGACAGGACTATGCAAATAAGGAATCTGTGATGGTTGGGGTTATGTGTCAGCTTGGCTAGGCTGTGATTCCCAGTACTGTATGGTTGCCCTCCATTTTATGTGTTGTGAATCCTGACCTCTACATGTTGATGAGATAAGATTGGTGTAGGGTGTGTCTTGGGTCACAGCCTTGAACGAGGACATGACTCAAGTTCCACCCTTACTCAAGTTATGCCCTTCCCTGGGGTATGGCCTGCATCTAAGGTATATGTGTGTGTCCTGGCAGGGCTCTTTCTCTCTGCATCCCGTGTGTAGATCTGGTTCGTGATCAATTGACTTCTGGTTCTTGGGACTTGAGCCAGAGGCCTGCTGTCTGACCTGCTGATTCTGGGATTTGCTGGCCTCTACAGCCCCATGGGCCGGTGGGCTATCGTCTGACCTGATTCATCAGCTTCCGCAGCCTTGTGAGCCAGCAGCCTGTCGTCTGAACTGCTGGTTTGGGTTCATCAGCCCCTGCAGCTAAGTGGGTTGGGAGAAGCCTACACCTGACCCATGGATTTGGGACTTGCCAGACTCCACAAGCATGTGAACCATTTCCTTTATACAGTTCGTGAGTTCTGCGGGACTTTGCAGCAAATTAGGGAACCCAAAGACAGGAGGGAGAGTACTCGGGGGAGAGGGAATAGTTGATGTTAGAGACGATGGAGTGGTACAGCAGTTTGGAAAAGTTAGACATTTGGGACATCTTTAACTTCTGCTGCATAGGAACCAGCTTTGTGCTGATCCTTATAAAGAAAGTATTCGTTTAGATACAAATCAAGAATATGTAAAGAACTCTCAAAACTCAACAGTACATAAACTGGACAATTCAATTAAAAAATGTGCAAAAGATATGAAGAGGTATTAAAATGAAGAGTATATATGGATAACAAATAAGCACATGAAAAAATATTCAACATCATTAACCACTAGGGAATCACAAATTAGGACCACAGTGAGATATCATTACACACTTAATAGCTAGAATAAAAAATAGTGACAATACCAAAAATAATATCAATACCAAAGCTCACAAGTGGAAAAACTGGAACTCTCAAACATTGGGGAAAACATAAAATGGGACTCCACTTTGGTATACAATTTGTTATTTTCTTAAAAAACTAAACATATACTTACCATATGACTCAGCACTCATATTCCTGGGATTTATGCTAGAGAAATAAAAATTTACATCTACACAAAAATTTGTACATAAATATTTATTGTAACTGCACTTGTAACCACTCCAAATTGGAAACAGATCAAATTCCTTCGATGGGTGAATTGTTAAATGAACTGTAATACATCCACACCATGGGAATACTAGTCAGGAGTAAAAAGGAATGAACTATTGATACATTCAACAGCTTGCATGGACTTCAATGGCATTGTGCTGAGTGAAAAAGCCAATCTCATTCCCTTTATGTAAGGGACAAAATTATAGAGATAAAATAGAATAAGATTAGTGGTTGCCAGGGGTTAGGAATGATAGGGGCAGGGGTGTGAGTGTGACTAAAAATGGTAGTACAAAGGAGATCTTTGTGGTAATGGAATAGTCTGTATCTTGACTGTGGTAGCAGTTACAGGAATCTACACATATAAAATAGCATAGAACTATACACACACATTGTACCAATGTCAATTTCCTGGTTTTTATATTGTACTATAGTTACATAAAAGGTGACTAATGGGAGAAACTGAGTGACACTGGTCCTCTCTGCACTTTTTTTTTGCAACTTTTGGTGAACCTATTACCGTTACAAAATAAAAAGTAAAAAAAAAGCTATAAATAGAATTGAAAATTTTCCATTTACCTATCTACTAGAAAAATTTTTTTAAAATACTCAATTTGTATTGGAAATAAAACAATAAATAAAAATAAATCTTAAAAACAGAAGACCATAAATCTATCACTCAACAAAATTTTAGTCTTAACTCTAGCAAGAGAGGGCACAAGTGCTGTGGAGCATTAAAAAAAAAGAAAGTTATGGTTTCTACTTCTTGGGCATTCATAATCTAAAGGAATGTAGTTGTCAATACCCTATAAGTTGTCAATAACATAGATGCTTATCAGCATTTTATTCTCTGATTTAACTCTAGGACCCCCCCACAAACAAACAAACATACAAACAAAAAACCGAAACCCACTGCCATTGAGTTGATTCAAAGTCACAGCGATCCCAGGACAGACCCTCAAAATTTCTTACCTGGATTATTACAATAATTTTCTAACTATTTCTAAATCTTTGTTTTTATTCTTGCATCCCTCCAATTCTCCATTCTAATACCAAAGTTCACCGTTTGTCTGACAGTTTGTTGTACTGTGGTGGTTTCCATGTTGCTGTGATGCTGGAAGCTCGGCCACTGGTATTTCAAATACTAGCAGGGTCACCCATGGAGGACAGGTTTCAGCAGAGCGTCCAAGCTAAGACAGACTAGGAAGAAGCACCTGTTAAACTACTTCTAAAAAAATTGGCCAGTGAAAACCTTATGAATAGCAGTGGAACATTATCTGATGTAGTGTCAG